GTTTTTTTTTGTTCGTCGCATCCCAATATTCGTTCTTGTTATTTTATCGTTTCTTTGTCTGTCGACGATTTGGCTTGATGGTTGCGCGTACGCTCCGAACGACGGATGAGAATGTTTATGCCATATTTGTGTTGATATGAAATGAGATCATGTGGTTTTTCGGACGGTTGAATTGCCGCTGTTTATAACTTTATTGATCACATTCCAGAGTCCGGCATTCTGTTGCTCGGTTAGCACACAGTGAAAATCAGAAAGATAGACATAAATATATGAACACACGAATAAATCCCCCTCTCGCTCTTTAGCTATACATATTATGTATAAATATTGTGAACAAAGAGAATTGACAGAGCGCACCATATTCTCCATTCTCATTCTTATTTACATATATTGGCTACTTGAGTGTGCTTAGCTTATTATTATACTTTCAACACGAAAAAGAAAAATGAATCGAGAGGTAAAGAGAGAGAGAGAGGAAAAAAATGCATTGAGCGCATTCATGCGCTGCTCTTTTACAAGTTAAAAGAAGCACAGAGTGAAAAAGCACGAACAAAAACAAATAATGGTATTTACACATTTGATTTATGGAATATTTATCTCGTTCAAATAGAAATCGCCGAGATACTTTGATTTTAACGGCCATACTATAGCGACCAGAAAGACAGAGACACAGAGAGAAATCATCGATTGAAATAAAAAATTAAATTGTCATCAGTCAGTTGGTGGTATTTGATACATTTTTTTTCTCTCCCTTTGTTATTATTATTATTAAAAAAATGGTTAATTGATCCATTTTGTTGAAGATGCAATATTAAGCATTGAGATTTGTATCAATAGACAATAAAATTAGATTTTCGTAAGCGATTTATTTGTAGATCGTGATTATGAAATTATGTTCGAAAAGAACTTTTATTGATTTGGATCGGAACGTTAATCACTTAATTACACGAAAGATATTCAGTCAATTTCAAGTATTTCATTGATCGTCAAACCTCGACGCATGTGTGTTGGGCGCACATAAGAGTTTTGCAATAAAAATGTTCATAATTTACAAAATGAAATTTATACTTTTTCAAAATGGTATAAATACACTCGATACAATTCATGCGACTTTAAAAATAGGCACAAAATTACAAATGTAAAAAAACTAAAACTATAAATATCGTTTCAGTTTATTTTAAAAAGGTAGAAAATATATACAACAGAGAAAAAAAATGTTGTAACTTCCATAATTGGAAAGACGTTAATTGAATAATTGCATGCGATCGCATCGCATTTTAATTATGTAATTTTTCCATTAAACGGCAATTAATTAGTTTGTCAACGCTTGTCTTGATGCAAAAAGTTGTAATTGATTTTGACGCTTCATAAGTCAATCTCACAAAAGGTCCCGAATCGACAATGTAATCAATTCGGTGAACGAAACGTCTATTTTACTTACGTTGTACAACAAAACGGCTTTACAATCGTTCCTCCAGTTGCCAAGCTTTAAGGTGGAACATTTTTTAAAATATGGAATCGTCGATGCCAAATCGAAGAACATTAAAATTCATTCAAACGAAAATGTGTGAACGTTACCTTGTACGCATTCATTTGTGTGTGCGCGATAATATCTCGTTGTATTTATTTCGTATTGGTATTTATTTATTTATTTTGCTTGAAGTATTTAAGTGATTCGATCTAATGTGACAAAATATGTGACTTGCTAAATTTGTGCACATTTTTTTTAAAAGTCCATACTAACCGAATGTGCGTCATAATATTTAATTGAAATGAAAAAAAAAATCCAATTTAATTGAAAACCATTAAAAAGACGACAATTCCACGAATTGAATTTTTTTTTCCATCGTTGTGAACGAAACTGTAAAGATGAATGCAATAAATTCGATGTGAATATTGTTGTTAAGTGAAATATTGACCATTTCAAGATCATTTCTCAATTTGGGTAAAGAAACAAAAATTTCCTCTTCTCGTATGGTCAATCTACAATTCTACATAAAAAATTCACAAGAGAGCTGAACTTGAAAGTTCAAAAAATGATAAAATCATATTCGAATCATGAGCTAAGTTGTTCAATTAAAATTTAACCAAAAACGTCCACTAGTGTGTATGGTATTTTAAGCGATGTCGCCATGTAGTCTCATCAATATTTTGAATATTAAAATGAACGGAGCAAACCGGTGTTTATGTGTGCGACGGACGCTGACGAAATAAAAATGCAAAAAAAGACGATTTGAACAAAAGGAAACAAAGGAATAATGACAGTCCCAACGAAAAAAAAATTATGAATAAATTACAATAACAATTCGGTGAAAAAACTATCGATAAAGATAAATCACAGGCATAACCAACTAAATTTTTGCTCAGTTTTCTTTCGGTCGCGCAAACGCTCTTGCTCTCTCTCTATATCGACCGAATTTAATATCAATTCAATGGCACATATATCTTGGGCTTTTATCGTCTTTTTGACATGAAATCGTCGGCAACAATCACTTGTTTACTTCAACGAAATATTTATATTTCTCTTTCGGACATTTTAACTAATATGTATAATATATAAAATTTCAATACATAAATAACATATAGTTTTCGCTATTTTTAATGAATTGAAAAAATCGTTATCTCGTGTGATAACTATTGGCAATCACACGAATTGACTGAATAAAATATACAACAACAACAACAACCTTTAGCTAGAATTTATATATCATTAAAACAAATGAAATATCGTACAACCATTATCATAAATTTTACTCGATTTTACTGGTTTGAAGTGATACAGTGCGAATTCTTAGACAGATGATATTGGCAATTTGTTGCTGCCATTGGGTGATGATGATGGTTGAATGGTGTGTTGGAGGGAGTGAAACTTGATAATTCACACAAATCTGCTGCAATTTATATTTAAATGATTTCAAACGCGGCCAATTAAATGATTACAAATAAAAATATATTCATTAGAATATATCAACATTTTTTCAGATGACTCAATCCAACACAAACATTACTATCTATGATTGCAGTATATCTGTGTTATCGTTATTAAATCAATTTTATTCAAAAGAAATTTTTAATCTCAATAGGTGTTCATTGCGGGCATATATTATAATTTGAATTTTTTGGTAAAAGTATTTCCTGGCATTCACAGGCTGCAAAATTGCTTTCTAACAAGTGCTATGCCAAATACGAGTCAATTCAATTTTCCAAATTAAAATTACTTTCTTTTTTTAAAGTTATTTTACTTTTTCGCACACATTTAAAATATTTATTTTTATCCAGCAAACTTATCAGTAATCACTTTGGGAAAAGTAATCAAAAGTTTTTCGAGCTGAATGTTTGATGCCATCGTCGCATCGAAAAATCCATCTAATTTTCTTGGATTAATTGATAAGATTCAAACTTTCTTATTTCTGAACTATTGAATTTTCTCAACTAAAATTCAAAAATTCGCAGCCATTAATGTGGGATATGTGTTCAAACACACACACTACGATAATTAATAAAGAATATAAATTATACAATCAAATACATTCTATTTTCTGGTACCAATTGTTTGCCGGGTGCTTGAGCTTTGCATTGCAGCTATTCTGGCCGAACATTTTCGTTGCTCTGATGATATTTCAATACCAAAATATATCTACATAAAATAAAACACAATTAGTATTTTGGGACTCACAAAATGTGGGCATCAACAAAATCGTTATTTCATGACAAGTTGAATGAAAAATTATTGTTATTTATTTTCAAGTAGTACAATTTTTTCGTTGTTTTTCACTCACCATAAATTCATGATTTTTCTTAAATACTGGAATTTATTAGGATTTTCTTTCTTTAATTAAAGTACTTAAGTAAATCGAATTCTAATATGTAATTTTTTTGCTACTATGTCATAGATGGTGTTGCTCACCTTAGTCACATATGTATTATTAGCGTATAAACAAACCTGTGTGGTTACCTTTTTATCCGATTTTCAGATTCATATTGTTCATCAACATTTTAAAGTTCAAGCTAAAAATAAAGAATTTAACTTTCAAAAAATCTGCGAAAAAAGAGAGCAAATAAAAGATTTAGCATTTTGATGAATTGGATTGTAATTCCAAACGAATTAAAAAGATTTTATTTTATTTGAAATTATATTCAAATGTTACAATTCCATATTAATTTATTTCTCTTCGTTCTTTGAGAAAACAAATGTGAGCGAGCATTTGCCGCAGTAGTGACGGTCTTCATGTGCAGCCATGAAAACTCCAGCGCCACAGTTTTCGCCTGGGCATTCACGACGCAAGCGGTGGATTTTGCCGTTTTCATCGACCTATGAATTTGAAAGAAGAAAAAAGAGAGAAAAACACAAATGGTATTAGTTGCAATGTAATGACAATGATGTTCAAAAAATATTTGCAAAAACAAGTTAAATTCATTGAAAAACGGCATAGTTTAATATGAAAATAAAAATAACTAACCTTGTAGTATTTCAAGACGGCGAGCTTGACCTTCTTTCTCTTGTGCTTGATCTTTTTTGGTGTTGAGTAATTCTTCTTCTTACGTTTCTTGGCACCACCACGGAGACGGAGCACCAAGTGAAGGGTTGATTCCTTTTGGATGTTGTAGTCGGACAATGTGCGACCATCTTCCAATTGTTTGCCAGCAAAGATCAAACGTTGTTGGTCTGGTGGAATTCCCTCCTTGTCTTGGATTTTGGCCTTAACATTTTCGATAGTATCGGAAGGTTCGACTTCAAGAGTGATAGTCTTGCCCGTGAGGGTCTTAACGAAGATCTGCATGATTGACAACTATTCAATGTGTCTAGAAAAAAAGAGGAGTTGAACGAAACATTTTTTTTTTTTTTTTTGTAAATTTGAATGACATTTTTTTGTGGCGTGCAGATGAGATTTTTTTCCGTCATCCACATTTGAATAGTTTGAAGTATTTCGAAGGAAGTTTAAGGTATGCATAAAAATTGAACAGAAAGTTTTGAGTGTTATATTTAAAATAGTGGAAAATCTTCTTTTTCATTTCAATTATCTCGATTGAAATTGTTTTATTCATTTTATTGTACAAAGAGGTCGGTGTATATCTTAAAACTAGAGAAAATATCAACGAACAAAAGGTTGGCCTAAACAAGAAGAACGGCATTAATGCAACCATCGTTTTCTGGATTGTTTGTGACTTGGGCGTATTTACCCCAAACAACTTTGCCAGTTTGTGTAACCAAACCGAGTTCAGAGATGTTAACTTCGATGACCGTACCCTTTGTGATGACACCCAAACTGGTGAACATCGGTGAGCTTGGATTCTTTTTCACACCAATGATTGGCAGGTGGAATGTGGCTTTCAATTCTGGATGTGTGACATGTGCTTTCTTGAATCGAAGTGCCATCGGACGAATGAAACGTTCGAATTTCGGTGGTTTACGTGTGAAATTGTCACCAACAAATGTGACTTTGGTAACCATACGTTTCCATGCTTTTCGCCTTGTTTTGCCCGATTTTAATACACGGAACACTTCGGCATCGGATTGGGCACGAACTTTTGGAATCGGTACATCCCATTTGCCGGCTTTTTCTTTACGCTTCTGTTTAATCATATTTGATAAAACTTTGGCACTCGATTGAACACCTCTGTCAAGCAAATATGTTGGAATTGCACCATCTTCGACTTTTTCATCTTGTTTCTTGACCTTTTTCTCTTCGTGTGCTTGGATCTTCTTTTTCATTTGAATCTTCTCATTGCGACGCTCTTTGTTGAACAATTTCGCTTTGATACCGCGCAATTTTTGTGCCTTCTTTGCACGTTCACGTGGTGCACGAGCTTCACGTTTACGTTTTCGTTCTTCGTAATCCAACCGTCGACCGTACAATTTACGGTGACGATCCATATACTCATTTTGCGGCATTGTGTCGTGTTTTTGTGTCCGTTTGGCCGATTAGATGAACAATTTCTAGTGTCAGAACAGAGAGGGAGAGAGATAGAAAAAAACAAATGACTTTTAGTACAATTTTAAAATAATGCCATTCACTTCGGGATTGTATTTTCGCTTTTGGAAATTTTCTTTACTTTACTTTAAATTTTTCATAATAAACTAATCGAAATACACTCTCAATTCTACGTTTGATTCACCACGATGTGGGAAATCCGTCTGTGATAATGACATCATTTTTTTAACCATCAACAAAATGTTTCACATGGTCTTGTACTATGCCATTTTGTCGCTTATCTCAAAGCACATGGATAAACTACAACACATTTGCCAAAACATATGTAGCTTGAATTGACCTGAATTAACCAAATCTAGAAATTGCTATCGTTCATCTAATTTCTGAACACAAAAACAAAACGAAAATATAATGAAAATCGATTCATTTTTTGTTCAAATGAAGAGAACACACCGAATTTATCAAGCACAGATTTCCCACAATCGTCGTACGAAACCAAATAAAATTGTGAGGTTATGAACAATTTTGTACACGAAACTAATTTATAATATGGAATGATTTGGGCAATTTAAATGGATTTTTTTATTCGAAAAATTAATTTGTCGCTTAAATTGAAAGTTGCTCACGAAAAAAGGGTTATGAAGTGATAAAATTTTGACGAAAATGACTATAAAAATTCAATTGTGGATACTTGAGATTTTTTCTCACACAGTGAAACCATGCGGTTCACATTCCATATATACTTGGGCCTTAAATTTCAATGTGCACATTTGATTAAAAAAAAATCACGAAAAATATAAATCTATAGAAATTTAATTATATTTCCTTGGAACCGATTGCACACTTAATACTTTTGTTCAATTTTTATGACAAAATTTTGAGAATTTTTTATGTTTTTCTCTGAAAAATTGCAGAGAGTTAAAAACACTCACCTATACGGTCAGAATATCACGACTAAAAAGAACAAGGCCGAATCCGGAAGCAGACATATTGAATACAAATGACATTTCTCGACCCATGCTGTGGAGAGAGTACACGACAAACACACCAAATACAGATGGAGACTTTTTCACTGAATGTTTATAAAAGTGAGAATATTATTTGATGATAAATATTGAACATATTTTTGAATTTCTTCTTTTTTTTCATTTTCGAATTTATAATTTAAATTTTTAATTTATTTTATGAAAATTGAATGAAATGAAACAAAAATAAAAAATGTAAACCGATTTGTCACAATCTCCATAAAACTCTCCATTTCTCCCAAATGAGAAATTCAATCATAACCAAATTTGTAGCGCACTGACAGCTCGTCACATACATAAAAACAAATTTAAACACTTTCTTGCATTTTGTGTTTAATCACAGAAGCCGATATTTATTGAATCGAAAAAATGCCTTTAACACCGGAATTAGCAGCACTACAAGTTCAGGTAATTTGAAATTATATCATTAAAATGTGTATGCAAAGTTTTTCAATAAAAAAATATTCTCTTGAATATGATATTATTTTTTTTTTTTTTGAAAAATCGTTAAATAGGAGCGCCTAACAGCAATCCAGGGGCTAGTGCATGCCATTGATAATGAGCGACGTCGCAACGAAAACAATCTCAATAACTTGACGAGACTGCAAGATAAATACGGGTCGGATTCAGCGCAGCACAAACTTCGAAGTCAATACAAGACTTGTATGAACGACGCAATTCAGGAGGAAAGTTTGATTCGCGATGCTTTAGCAAAGATACAAGAAATTCGAAATATTCGCAACGAACGACGAATTCAGGTAAAATCCAGTAATTTTACGACGCTATCTGTGGTTTTAATGTATTGCTTTGGTTTTTTTTGGCAGGCACGCAATGCTGGAAATAAAGAAACTATTCGACGTGGTGCATTAATGAAAATGCTACAAATATCAGCTCAAACATTACCGCTTTACGTGAGCAAACCGGATGAAAAGACACCACCTCTAGTTGGTGCTATCGGTGCCGACAGTACTTACATCGCAAAACCGGGAGATATTGTGGCTGCATTGGTTAAAGGTTTAGAGGATGAAGACAGCTGGATTTTAGCCGAAATTGTGTCATTCAATGCGAGTCAAAATAAGTATGAGGTCGATGACATTGATGAAACTAAAGACAGACATGTTTTGAGTAAGCGAAGGATCGTACCGCTGCCATTGATGAGAGCCAATCCAGAAACAGATTCTCATGCGCTATTCGCAAAAGGAACCATGGGTAAGGAAGAGACGTTTTTAAGTCATAAGTTTTTTCTAATTTATTTATTTTTCTATCGATTTTTCAGTGATGGCACTTTATCCACAGACAACGTGTTTCTACAAGGCTATCATAAATAATTTACCCGAAACAGCTACCGCTGACTATGAACTACTTTTTGAAGATGCCAGCTATCCAGAAGGTTATTCGCCACCTCTTATGGTCGCTCAACGCTATGTTATCGCATTCAAACATACGAAGAAAAGTGGAAATGTGTCAAGTTGACCAGATGCCAGCGACAATAGCATGAAGTCAGATGATGTTCAATGACACAACAATGCTTTTAATTGAGAGACATTATCGATAACAATAATCGAATGAGCATAAAATAACCATATTTTAGTTGATATTTAGAATGTGTACAGCAGCAAAAATAAATTAATTTAACAATGCAATGATGATTTTCTATTTGCTTCAAATAAAGAGTGATTTTGTTTTTATTATGATTTCGAAAATTGAAAAATACGAAAAAATATTAAGTTAGAGTTGGTTAGAGTTAGCAATTCAAGTCTTTCATTTTTTGCTTCTTACATTTGGGATTTTGTACCAGATCCAAAGTTACATTGAAATTATATACAAATAAATGCATAGTAACATAGATGTGTGTTGTTCACAATTTGGACATTAGCTAAATGTCATTAGGGAGAGTTTTTTTTGAAATGTCATTAGGGAAAAAAAACTATTCTATGTGCCAATTCAATCAAATAAAAAATATAAAATATTCAATCTGGAAAATATTCGCAAAATTTGATTTTTTAATTTTTATTGATAAAATATTCGAAGAGTAATTATTTCATCAAATTTTTCCAAACTAATCACAAACATTTCAATTTTCAACAAAAAATCTTAAATTCATATCGTTTTACACATAATTTTTTTATTCAACAGATACAATTTAAGAATTGAGAAAAAAACCGAAAAATATGTTCTCACCGATGCGAGTTTGAATATATAATAATTTAGCGGAATTTAGATCAAGTGTAAATCCACAAAAATTTCAAATATGGCATTATGCAAAACATTTCATAAACGATCAAAAATGGTCAAGTCTATTCCAATAAATGTGTTGATGAATAATCATCAGAATAAATTACCTTTTTATACCAAGTACTGGAATCCGAAATTTATGAAGTGCTCTTTTAATCAGAAAAATTTGAAAATGTGTGTATTAAAAAAAAACCAAAGAAAAACATACAGAAACAAATGAACGATTTCCTTTTATTTGATCTAATTTTTTTCATGTTCGTATAGCATATTTAAATGTTATTGACTTTTACCTAATTCTAAGAGCAACAATCCGGTATCAGGTCCGTTTGCGTATCGTTAAACAATTTTTTAAAAATAATATCGTTACACAGAAAACAAATTAAGATGAATAAAACACAGTAAATGTCATTTACATATTTTTCTTTTTATTATTATCATCGCTATTTTATATTCTTGTAAAATTATTTCTGGTCTTGTTATTTTTCCTCTTATTTTTTTTCTTCTCTTTATAAATTGGTGCTCTTGAAATATTTCTCATTCAATTTGTATAGTTTTTTTTTGTATTGACTCTTATTCAATAAACATTTTTTATACTGTTCTTTTTTTTGCTTCTCATTCTTTCATTTTTTTAATTCTATTTTATTTTAGCTTTTATTTGTTGTTGATTTTTTTTCTTCATCTTTTTTATCTTCTTTAATTCTATTTTATTTTACTTTTTATCTGTTTTTAGTTTTTTTCATCTTTTTCTTCTTCGTTATTTTTCTTATTTTTGTGCTCATATTTTTTTTTCTCTTAATATGATGGGTGAATGTGTATTAAGAAGAAAAAAAAGTGAAAATCTTACCCATTTTTGCTTCATCTGCTCAACAGGCCGATATGATGTAATCAGCAACATTTCAACTGGTAAATCTTTAATATGGCGTATAGTAATTGGCGCGTCCCCTGTAACCCCGTCTGTGGAAATGAAAGTCATTCATTCGTTTTAGAAAAAAATCGATTTAATCGCATCGATATGGCGAATATTTGAATACATACATTGGTCGTCGAGTGCCTCTGAATGAACCGTGACAGCAACCAGCTGCACCGCGCGCAATACCACGTCCACGACCCCGAAAACCTCGTGGCATACGATTTGTCGATGAAATACCAGGCCGATTTGTTCGCTTAGCCATTACTTTGATTTGACGTCCTCGGAACAATGTTTCATTCATTGCTAATGCGGTCTCAACAAAATCTTTCGAACCAAATTCAATGTACGCAAATCCTTTGGGATGTCCGTCAGCTTTATTGCATAAAATTGTAACACGATTCATGCTGCCGCAACCGTGGAAATGCGCTTCCAATTCTTCGGCGGTTGCACCATAGTCAACATTTCCCACATAAATTGATCGATCATCTATTTCCCGTTTCTCTTCGATCGATAAAGGAATGGCTGCAATGCCCGTTGGTGAGCTCATTGTCATTTGTTTATTGACCTCGGATTGCATTTGCTTCAGTTTTTCAGCTTCTTCTTCCATTTCTTTAACGCGGGCCTTTATCGCCTCTAATTCCGGATCGATAATTTGATGAATCGATTCGTCCTGAAGAATAAAATAAAAAGTTTACGTTTTTAATTTGCTGTCTTTCACTCCGTGCAAAAAAAATACGAACAAAAAATATATTTGAATCAACATAAGATTGAAACATGATAAACGCTATACAACTGTATACAAAAAAGTCAATAACTTTGCCGCGCGGCATTTATAATTATCGCAGCAAGCTTGTATTGGTAGTCGCCATTTTGTTTTTTTTTTTCACCAAATTCTTTTTCATAAATATATATGCGTACTGTACACAGGAGCATTAGTCATGAGACTTGACACCAATTCTTGATACCAAGTGATATTTTTCACTCATATTTTCATCGGCCAACAATTAAAAATGCCATTTAATATTTACCTCATTTAGGAATTCGGCATCGCCATTGTTTCCATCGTCTAAGTTTTCGAGAAGTTGATCTTCGGTTAATGAAATATCTTCGTCGGCCATTCTGGTATTATTTTTTCTTTCTTTTTTTCGTTCACTTCTTTAAATTTAAATATAAATAACCAATCTAGATATCACCGCTTAAGAAAAAAAATCAACTCAATTGTATATAAAATACCGATTATCACCGTAAAAATGAATGAGAAAAAAGTTGTGAATATATTTTTTTTGTGACTTGAAAATGAACGTTCACTATGCTATTACACGCGGTAAATACTAGTAAAACTTCAACTCGAAATGACACCTTGATGCCGAGAATGCGAATTATATACGAAATTCTCCACACACTGCAATGCATACATGCACAGCGACACACGGACACGTAGTGAGAAAAGTTGTTAGTCACAATTTCATCTAATGACGAGTATGAGTGTGGAGACTGGAGAGTTTGTGACAACATTTTGAAATTACAAACCACGGCCACACCACTGTTGAGCTGTCACTGTCAGCTTTCAGAGAAAAGTGCTGAAAGTACCAATAATAATTGAATAAAATAATTTTTCGATCGCAGCAAGTTTACTTTTATTTTCGTGAATAATGGCTGGTGCTTTGGCACGTATTAACTACTTTCCGAAGCATCAAATCGGTAAGAATTAAATAGCAAACATATTTATTTCAATCTATTGGAAAAATGTGTTTTAGTCGTTTTGCGTATCAATAATTATCATGAATTACATAATGAAACATCTTTCATGTCTCGTTTCGTATGTTTTGAATTTTGACTTAACACATCCTGTTGTAAAGTTATTTCGTGTCTAATTGGCTTGATATTTATTGCGACGTTCATTATTTATTTGCGACCTTCATTATTTTTTTGCGACTTATTTTGAATTTTTCGATGAAAATGTTAATGAAATGACATTGTTTATTATTAGGAAATGTTACCACTCCATTATTCGGTAGTCAGATAGTGAGAGCCAATTCAACTCCAGCTGGTACACCACCACCACAAACAAAAACCGTATTTGGCCCACTTGCCGACCAAGATAGAATTTTCACGAATCTTTATGGGCGTCATGATTGGCGTTTGAAAGGTGCATTGAAACGTGGTGATTGGTATAAAACAAAGGAAATCGTATTGAAGGGAGCCGATTGGATCGTCAGTAAGTTAATACAGAAATTCAAAAAAAAAAAAAATGTCAAAAATTATAGTAATTAATTTATTCGCATTTTCTTTTAGATGAGGTCAAAGTATCTGGTTTGCGTGGTCGAGGCGGAGCTGGTTTTCCAAGCGGAATGAAATGGTCATTCATGAATAAACCATCCGATGGTCGTCCAAAGTATTTGGTTGTGAATGCAGATGAAGGTGAACCAGGAACGTGCAAAGATCGTGAAATAATGCGTCATGATCCACACAAATTGGTCGAAGGATGTTTGATTGCGGGTCGTGCAATGGGAGCCAGAGCCGCATACATTTATATCCGTGGTGAATTCTACAATGAAGCATCAAATATGCAAGTGGCCATTGCTGAAGCCTATCAAGCTGGTTTGATTGGTAAAAATTCATGTGGATCTGGTTATGATTTTGATGTGTTCATGCATCGTGGCGCTGGTGCATATATTTGCGGTGAAGAAACGGCATTGATTGAATCATTGGAAGGTAAACAAGGTAAACCACGTCTCAAGCCACCTTTTCCAGCCGATGTTGGTCTCTTCGGATGCCCTACAACTGTAACAAATGTTGAAACTGTTGCCGTCGCTCCAGTAAGTTGAATTCACTTACACCTTTTCAAATGATTCAATTTTCGATTTTAATGACATATATTTTACACTTTCTTTAGACAATTTGTCGTCGTGGTGGGACATGGTTTGCCAGTTTTGGTCGTACACGTAATTCTGGCACCAAATTATTCAATATCTCTGGACATGTGAATAAACCGTGCACAGTTGAAGAAGAGATGTCAATTCCATTGAAATTGTTGATCGAAAAGCATGCTGGTGGCGTTACCGGAGGTTGGGATAATTTATTGGGTGTAATTCCGGGCGGTTCGTCGACGCCAATTATTCCGAAGAAAGTGTGTGACGATGTAATCATGGATTTTGACGGTTTGATCGCCGCTCAGACATCATTAGGAACAGCTGCTATCATTGTTATGGATAAGTCAACTGATGTTATTAAAGCTATATGTAGATTGATTGATTTCTATAAGCATGAAAGTTGCGGACAATGTACACCATGCAGAGAGGGAATTGGCTGGATGGATAAGGTTATGCATCGATTTGTTAGCGGAAATGCTCAACCAGCCGAAATTGATATGCTGTGGGAAATTTCCAAACAAATTGAAGGTCACACAATTTGCGCATTGGCTGATGGTGCTGCATGGCCTGTTCAAGGTAATCATCGAAAATGGACTTACTCTAGGGGCTTTTAAGTATATATATTCACAATATACACGTCTTATTCATCACATCTACGGCATAAATCTCCAGTGAATATTTCGTATTTTATACTGTTTATTCTATATTCACGGTACACACACACACAGCATAGTTACATAGGAATGAAGAAAGTCCGCACAAAAGAGATTGAAAAAATATGTATATATATGAAATATTCACCAAATTTATGCAGTTATACACATCTATTTGTGCATTTCTTCATATATACATGACTATTCATGCATTATGTTTCAATATATACTGTAATAGTAGTATGCATTTGTACTTAAAAGCCTCTAGGACTTACTCAAATAGAATGAGCAAGATGAAAATTATTCTAATAATTATTACTATTATTATTTGTATTTGCAGGTTTGATACGACATTTCAGACCAGAAATTGAAGCCCGAATGAAGCAATACGAAGAGAAACGTGTTCGCGCCAAAAACTAAAATTCTTGGACTAGATAAGATTTGATTTTTTCCCCGATTTTCTTATTGCACCTTGAATGTATATTTTAACTATTGAGTTGTAATAAAATGCTACTCATAGGCCATAAGCACTATGTATTTTACATTAAGGTGGATTGAAAATTTTTGGAATACACACAGTACAGATTGATGTTAATATACTTACGAAAGGTTGGTGTAAAAAGTTTATGAAAATGATGCTGAAATAGATTTAGATAACACAAAAGACGAATGTGTACAATAAAAAATCAATAGCTAATTTCCCCATTCGCGAAATCTGGGATCTTACTTGGGATCTAGGGAGAATTTGTTCCATCATTCAATAAATTATAATTCAAAACTGTATCAAACCACTAAACAATTACTATAATCGACCAGTTAATGTCATTACGTACCGGATTTGCTTAGAAGCAAAAATCGAACTCAGGTACTGAAAAAATCCGACCGCCACCACTGATTATCGACTTCAATTCAGATTGGTATTCATGTTTGATCTTTAATCAAAAGTCACTTTTTCACAATCAATACTTTTTCGACGACAGTCTCACTTAAGAAATTGTCAAAAATATGCACACTTTCAAATAAAATAAACGTTTGATTTTCTCATTAACACAACTTATTGAACTGTGATTCATTCTCGAACTGATTTGTTTGTATAAAAATGCGTTAACAATTGTGCTATCAAAATAAATCGGCGTTCTTGTTTACATAGGGGTTCGGAAAAGTAATATCACTTTTTGAAGAAAAATGGAATTTTTCTCATGGGCATGACACTTTACGCTATCAACCAAAGTCGCTCAAAATCTAATAGTTTCTATCAGACAATATATTGAACTAACTGGTCAGTTGAGCTGACAGTACGTTAGCCAGCTAAATGGACCAAAGCAATAGAAGTTATTGTTATAATGAACAATCACTTCTATTAAAACAAAAAAAGTGATTCATCATTAAAACAATAACGTCTATTGTTTTAGCCCATTTAGCTGGCTAACGTACTGTCAGCTCAACTGCCCAGTTAATTCAATATATTGTCTGGTTTCTATTCCTCGCGACCCCCAATCATCCTGTGAAGTCAGATTTTGAATTACTTTTCTTGGTTGAAAGTTATCGTGTTAACAAATTTTTGCGTACAGGGTACATCCGTATTTTTCGACCGATTCCAATACTTTACTTTACACAATAGGTGTGTGCGAAAAAGTAAAAAGATTTTGTAAAAACGGTTTCTTTGTCAAATCGATCAAAAATGTCTCAATTGCTGCGTACACAATCAACAAGCGTCGATCAATGGTAAGTGCGGTACACAGTGTGAACAAAAACCATTTAACGAAAGTTGGAAGTTTAGTGGTTTAACCTCTACTTTCTTTATGACATCAAACATGGAGAACAAGTTCGTCTGAATTTAAAATAATTGTAATTTAAAAAAAAACTCGATTGAATATTTACAAGACAATTTATTGAATGTGCAATTTTAGCTAATTGGTGTCAAAAATCATTGTAGGTGCTCAAGTTTTGAGGGTAAACATTGAAATAAGTCCACGAATTTATCAAATCGAGTATTCCTGATATAAAGTGTACGTAACGACTTTAAGCTGTCATTATTGCAATGTATTTCTGTAGTTTCGGGTGATGTGCGAAAAAGTCCCTCTTCTGTACTGTTGGTCAAAACAATTTTCACCTTTTGTTCTAACGAATCCATCTCAAATATTTTAATAACGTCCCATGAAAGATACACATAGCTTACATTCCACCAATTTGGTACAGTTAACATTGCATTGTTTTCTATTCGCACTGTTTCCAAATTCGTATTATAACTGAACGTGTGAGGAATTGAAGAAAAAGTGCTCCGAACGAAATTGCTGCTCAAATCTATATATTCTAAGTTGATTAGATTCTTGAAGACTTTGTTATTGTTCGTTCGTTGGTGTTATCGTTGACTGCTCTGCCCCAAGTGGTATTCATACTAGAAAAACTAGTGAAACTAGCAGCAACTAGCACAGTAAGATTGGTGTTTCAAGTGCGTGAAGTTGGTTCTCAGAAAAAAATTATACACATTGTATATCTATTGAAAATATCGAGAGGAGAGTATGTTTTTATTCAGACATTACTCAGCCATAAGCGCTGAATAACATACTCTCTTCTCGATATATTCAATAGATATCAAGGGCCAACTTCACGCACTATAAAAACTAGAATTTTTTTTGAAACTAGAAATTGCAAAAACAATAAAAAACCTGTATTTATTTATTTATTTTTTGGTTGAACATGACTGTGTGTTTTTCTGTTACATGTACGTCATAATGGACAAGCATATCGTCGTTAAAATGAATTTAAAAATATTTCCACTCGTGTCAACAGCATCTAGCTCTTAAGTAGGGATTTCATAGCGTCGACTTCTTCAATTATCGAAACACCCTAATATACACGCAGTGCCTGCATGAAATGAATACGTTTATTAAGTACAATCATACGTTTATAAAGCGTACTAACTGTGGAACCGAGAGTTAAGCGGAATAAGGGCACACTATATAAACGCCATCTATTAATAACCGACTAACTACAATGTAAATCAAACGTATCTGTTTCCCCTTTTTATTTACTCCCTTCCCCTCTCGCTATACTTTTACATTGTAGTTAGTCTGTTTTACAAAGATGTCGTTTCTGTGTAAGATGTGTGACGTCACAATGTATTTATATGGATAGCGCTCGACTCTCGTGTGGAACAATAAAATAATTTACTTTTTGAGGACTATAATTACAAATAAGAAAACGTTAATTGAGTAAAAAAAGTGTTTTTTACTTAATTAACGTTTTCTTATTCTGTGGAACAATTTTCAATAAAATAAGTAGATACGTCAAGAATGCCGAAGATAGTAGTTTCTAGTCCATTCATGACAATTTATTACAGCAAATGGAGATAATCAGAAGTACTTCAGCAGAAAATAAGGTACACAGCATGCATATTTTAAAAAAATTCGGTCAACAATAGTTTTATCCATATACATTTGGAATGTATATACAACAAATATTCTGTTGAAAGAAACATTGAGTTTTTAATTCAGTCATCGGCGCCGAAGCATTTCATTATTTCTTTGTGGATATATCTTTGTTTGTTCTAAATGTTTAATATATTTATTTTAATTATAACATACGCCCAGAAAGTCTTGGTACTAAATTCAGATGTTCGTCATTTGAACAACAAACACACAATATTAAATTCGTTTTTATTGGTATAAACCTTTATTTATGGGCTACCGAATAGCAATTCACTTTACACTGAACGAACCATTGTCTTCGATTTTTCTCAGTATGCTTTGGCAGGCCGATTTGTCGATTTCTTTCAACCAAATGTTGCACGTTTCAAGTATTCTGGACTTTCGTTTATAATTTGGTGTCTTTTTGTGAAGTTAAAAAAATGGTCCTTTTTCATGGAAATGCTATTTTTTAAAAAGTGAGCCATTATTTTGGTTTTTTCTACTTGCAAAGCACAATTTTGTCTTTAATCAGATAGACAGCACAAGACGGGTCGTCATGCAATAAGTTACGAAACTTGAGCATCGAGTGAATAACTCCCCGTTTAATCCAATAATCCAATAATCCAATCAGATAGTTCTCAATGAATGCCAATGATTCCAACAATAATTGGTTGATAATAGAATAACCTTTTCCTACTGACACCGTAGCCATACCACAAAACTAAAATTCCTCCTGTTAAGTCAAATGGTCATGAAAAATGTCCAACTTTACGAATATGACAATGGTTTGCATCGAGCAACACTAAAAATAGAAAAGGCTAATTATATAAGAAGTAACCTACGTATCGAAAACAAGAGCTAAATTTATAAAAACGGTTCCCACCGGTGGATTTGGGGGACCCTATATTATCAAAAATGACCAGTCTCCAGTCAGTAACATTTTACAACTAGCACAATGATTCTTTTATCATCACGATATTGTAAAACATTCTAAATAAATTCTTATTACCTAATTTCTATCATTTTTCGGTTTTTTTCAGAGCTATGCAATGTATTTACTTGACTATGAGTTCCATATATTGGACAATGCCTTCCTGGTGCATAGGCCAGGTATCAAAATATGGACTGGCGTCTCAAAACGTAGGAAATTAACAATGAAAAACCTTCAATTGAGGCGCAAGACTATTGAACCAGAGTTGCAGGTCCTGCATGGAAAACGAGAAGGATGTTAGGAATGTTGGCTGCCGACAAAAACCAAACTTCAAATAAAAAGTAATTTTTTTTGTAAATATATTGTATTTTTTATTTATTTTATTTTTTGCATCTTTTTCGCTTTATTTTTACAATAATTTATTACAAACATTACACATGTAACAAAAAAGAATAATTTGTTTGAATTATCCACTACATTTAATAATTAGTGTGTATTAGCATTGATTTAAGCAAAACGGTTGAATTTATATTTTATTTGTTTTAAATATGAATTTGTGATAAATCAAATTATACGTGTTTTCTTTCAATAAACGGAAAATTGAAAAAAGTATATGAAAAAGCATAATTATATGGTGTAAAAAATAATTTCTATTAGGAAAAAATAAACATCTTTTTACATAGAAATATGATTTATGCATAGTATTAACATCTGATAGTTTGATTGGACCATTTTAACTCGGCCGGATATTACGCCATTCTTATTTTAGTTCTAACTAAATTCATACATATACATACATATATGAAACCTGTTCAGTCTACTTAATGTGTCAAGTATAGCATAAATATATACAAATTGTTTTCGAATCATCTAATTCGACTTCGGATAAAATCTATAATTCGACTTCGAGATCACATTTTCGATTTTCTAGTTTGTGTGTGTGTGCTCTCAAACAATTTGACCCAAAAAAAATTGGAAAAAAATAAAAAGACCATTCGTTTTAATTTAAATCGTGAACGAAACAAATATACAATTCGCTTGGGCAAATGTAGTGAACAAAAATAAATACATATCGGTCGATTAAAGAAAAGCTAATTTATATAGAATAAATTGGATTAAATTGTAACGGTGATCTTGTTTCCCATTTTGGTGTGAACTATTTGCTTGTGGTTGACTCTATAATAAAAATTATCGGTGTTGTTGTGTGGGTGCTTGAGCTGATGTCTCTAGACATCGTCCTTATCCACAAAGATGTCTGGCACCAATTGGTCACTGGACGATTTACTATAGTCACGATTTTCATCGGCTGTCATCCAAGGGTGCAACAAGATATCTTCCGATAAAATTCGCTCTTCCGGATCTTTGCGCAATAGCGAACGAATCACACATCTTGCTTTTGAGGTCAAACAGTCGGGCACTAGATATTGGCCACGTGATATTTTTGCAAACAACGATGCGTGTTCTGAGTCATTGAACGGATATCTGAAAATAGAAAGAAAATCATTAATTATATGTTTTTAAGCACACATTTTGTAAATACATATGTTTTCGCTTGATTGCTCGTCATCTATCTTTTTGCCAAATAAATTTTTTTCACTTTTGCTTCGATCGGAATAAGGTTTGAATAAAATCGTGTCCATTAAAATGTATTAAATATATTGTGCATACGGAGATGTAAGAGAAAGAATGGAGAAGAAGAAAATGTGGCACATGTGAAGTAATTTAAGAGGCCTTGAAGGATAGCAGGTGCATTCGGCAATGATAATTCGGTTCTCCCTAATTTTAATGCTGTATATGTATCATATATTGAATAAAAGAAGGAGAAAACGGAGACTAGCATTTATAATTGGAAAATGTGTTTGCTTTAAGAAAAGAAGTGAAGAAGTTCAGCTGGATCACTACAAACGGTTTGAAATCACAAACCAGCTGATCTTAGCTTTTTTTAAACGAAGTAAACGACATTGAAAAGAAAATATATATCGATGACGCTGATATTTTCGTGCACCTTGCTATTTAGATTTAAAAATAGAAATAAATTGGAAATTCTTCTCGATATTTATGAGTGAACAGAAGCGATTACAATTTATTAAAACGAAAATTAAGCAATTATGCACCGAAATGTCACTGTTTCGATAAATTCAAATGATTTTTAATGAATTGAGATCGTTTTGCATTCAAGTTTGAAAAGCATGTGCCATTTACTGGACTTTGAAATATATAAAAACTCTGAATAACACTTACCGTCCGACAACCATGGTATACAGAATAACGCCAAGCGACCACATATCAGCTGCTTTACCGGAATACATTGTGTTGGCTTTGAGAATCTCCGGTGAAACATACGCAGGGCAACCTCGTTTATCTTGTAGCAAATCCTCATTCGGATTATCCAAAACGACAGCATCTTCAAGCGACTCTAATCGAAGGTGTGTTCTGCAAATAAAATATGTTGTTAATGAAGTTTTATCAATGCTATAACTAATCAAGTGAATATATACATTCAAATGAACGAAAAAGAAAAAGCACGATAAGCAAATCGTCGTAGATATCGAATAAAGTACAGTATTCAAAATTACACAGTTATTTCTTCTTGGTATAATACATGCCCGATGGCGATGTTTTTCAATCGAAATTTCTTTTGGACAATGCTCTTCAAGATATTATAAAAAGTTAATTATGCATTATAAACAACCTGTCAAAAAAATCAGTACGAAGAAAAGTAATCAAGACACAAAAGCTGAAATATTTTGCACTGATACGCATGTCATGCGAGATTTCAGGTGGCTTATTTCTTTCGCTTCCTTCATCGTTTTGCCTTTCGTATGTCGATAATTTGCTACGCACATATGTTTGGCGTTCATAACCTTAACAAGTCGACACTACCACACATACAACACGCCAAGTCACAGCGAATGAAAAAAAAAGATAGCTCACAGTATTAAGTCAATGTTTCCTAACTGAACGTAGCCGTGTTGCAACTTTTGCAATTATGTCACACAATTAAATCTTTTGTAAATATGTCCATATGCGTTAAAATAATCGCTCTCCCATAATGAAAACGAAAGAAAAAAAAAACATGAAACCGTTTGATGTGTCCAAGTGTCTGAAACGCGTTACATTATGCGCCGCTGTGAGAAATATTTCGATATAATTTCCTTTCAATTTTCAAAACGAACGACACGACGATCTAAATGACATTCAATGAAGATCGATTTGGTATTCAACGCCAGCATCAAGTTCATCGTTTCAACAGCAGCATTTGTGGTTTAATGTGATTCATGTGATCCACTTTTTTTGCATTCGAACAAATTGTTGAATGTACATTTCGATTCAAACAATGGAATGCCATTAGAATCAACGCCAAATACGATACAAGACACTACATTAAATGTGTAATAAAATCCAAATTCACTCATGCATCACAATGCTCTGCACTAATTTATTTAGCAGTTACGAATAATATTGGAAATAAATAATCGCAGAGAATATTATTGAGTTTTTTGTTTTTATTTTTTAATTCGCCAAAGTTCTCTTTTGCTGTGAAAACTTCATATACCGTGGCGTTTCTGTGCTATTCTTATTTGGTTTTTAAAGAGCAGCTGCGCCACATATAAATATTCACGATCACAAGGACAATATGAATGACACTTTGGTCTAGCCCAGTTGATTTGGCAAATGGTATTTCGTTTCAGAGTTTTATAGCGCAATTTGTCTGGATATGCTCAACTAAGAAGATCGCTAACGAGTTTATACATGGTGTAATCCATTGGTGCAATGCTTTTATTATATTGACATTTCCATTCATTCACATTTTCAGTCTCATTGTGACAGCCGCAGAGAAAAAATATTTTCTGTATTGCGAATGTTTCTCTTTTTTTTCGTGTCGAAAATCGAATACACTTTTAAAACATCGAATGGAAAAAAGCAAACCGAAATATTGTTGAATGGTGACATTTCTGAAAACAGACATCATTGCATTTTGATGTCAAACAATATATATATATGCGTAATTTTCGAGCTGTAGATTTCATTTTTGGCCATTTTGTTACACATCATCGTAATTACGAAAAAAAAAACTGAATTCATAATGTATATTTATAGCCAATGTGGTTTCGATAATATGCGTGCAATATGAAATCAAACGTTGATGATTTTCAACACGAGATGATGTTGATCGATTCGGTCAAATTGGATTTTGATTTCATTGCTTCATTACTTGATTTGGTCGTTTGGTAATTTTGCTTCATCATTTTTTAGCTGCGCGACAATGAATGAAACATGAAAGACAATCTAAGAAAACCGGCGAGCAAACTTTTTAGAAGTGTTTTTCTGGGATATCTGGTGTGCGTGTGTCAATGTGATTGAAATTGTTATGTAAATTTCTTTTTTCTGGAGAAATGCCGATGAGTAAACGGTTGAGTTCGTTGTCCGTTTCGAAGTAATTGCGTCAATTGAAACAATTTTCTCTATCTTTTCAAAAATTTGTCGATAGAGAAAGCCATAGTCCAAATAACAGAAGAAAGAGATCAAACAAAACACATTCAAAACGGCAAGCTATTTATCACGAATTATTGATGAATGAACATCGAAACGTGTATAATAATGACCAGCTATATGCAATTATTCGCCTTAACACGTGCACACACAACTGCCAATGTTATATTAGCCACTGTTGTGGCTCAGTTTTCTTTATGACTTGAACGGTCGAACGCTTCTTTTGGAATTCACACTTTCTTCGCAGTGTCGGCACATTAAACATATGCAAAGCGAGAGAAAAAATAAACTATAGCTCGTTGAGGGCAAACAATGAAAGAGAGCGGCGAAAGCGAGAGGAATCGTGAAACGATATTAATTTGTTGATGTGTTGTGAAAATGATCATCATTGTTTTAGCGAAATTATAATTTTTTGCGGATTTTTTTTTTTCATTGTAGAAATAATATTCAATTTCACTTTGTGTTAACTTAATTTATATGTAAATAAATAAAAAGTTTATTCAACTCATGAACCATTTTAATCGATTTCATTGAACACCCATATTCATACGACAAATGCACAAAGTAAAAAATAAATAAAAATTATCCGACAAAACAAAATTTGATGAAGAGTTATTATCGATCGGAATTTATACGTCAATATCTCTTCGTATGTATTATATCTGTCGAATTTCAATGACCTGAGGTTATCTTGTGTATTTGTATCATATTACTTTTCAGTCTGATTTCTTACATCCGTTCAATATAATTATCTAGTTGCATTGCGTTTAAATGCACATAAATTGTTTTGGTTGAAAATTATATAAATTGTACACTATCAAAACACAGTGAAAGCAAGAGAAAATAATAAATCAATGTTCTTGGAAAGGCGTGATAAAAAGAAAACGCTCATTCCAGAATGGTGTAAAAGTTTTACAATCTGTCTAACAATCTATTGCCATGTGAATTGGTACATAGATTCATCGTTGAATCACGCACAATTACTTGAGTTTATGAAATGCTTGAACGGTATACAGATTGTCTTGTACGTTGATCTTTGTTTCAGGCCACAGCGGCATAAATACTTTTGTTTCAAAAGAAACAGACTTTCAAGAGATCGGTTTGTGCGTTGTGCAATAGCGCGTGTAACGGATTAACATGTGTGATAATATTTAAAAAAAATATGAGCCGTTAGTTTGGTGAATTCAATTGATTCCATCGTAATATTTAATGAAACCAATATTATAATGGCAAGCAGACTTCAAGCCATTCAATACATTGAGCTAAATGATTGAGACAGTTGTGTGGTTCAATTAAATGAACAAAAGCATTACGGTTCATATTGAATTTTTGTATTTCTAATAGAGAGATCTTTTAAATCTATTTCGTTGTCGCGCAATTATTGCACCTATTTGGTGCTTACTTTCGCATCTATTACTTTAGGTCGCACCACAAAAGCTTGCAATGTGTACTCAATTTGACTGTCGTACACAACGCGATTCACGAAGTAAAAAAAATAGAGAATGGCTTTCAAAATATCAATTTTGAGCAATTCAATATTAAACGTTGTCGCTAACCGATCGTGTTGTTGAATTGAGAGAGTTCGGTGCTCTGCACGTGATTGTGGAATGTGTGTGTATGTATGTGAAAAATTGCGTAAAATTTTCGGCTTGCCTTTTTTTCCTGTCAGTATTCGGCTCTTTCGGTTAAATCACCAATGGGTGCGCGCGCCTCAAAATCGACGTTCAGGTCGGTATATGTATGTATTGATCACATTTTTGCCACATTACGCAGTGCAAGCGGTTGATTCGATTGCCACCAAAATGTGCGAAATAATGAATCAGAAAATGCCAAACCCGATTAAACTTTTTTTTATAAGTCATGAGAATATAAATATGTCCATTATCGTGTGACGTTTTTTTTTTTTTTTTTTTCATCGGAAAGATAATTTTCGCTTGCAAAATTTATAAAATATCAGTCGGGTGGCGAAATCGCCATTTATATTTCGAAAGGAGTGAAGGAAAAAAAAGATTTATTGTGAACCCTAAATGATAGCCTACAAAGATTGTTCTTGACCATTGCACAATTTTGCTATCAATAGTGCGCGTGTGTGTGCAATTTTTAATTGCTTACAAGTATCGATTGTGATTGCCAATTGACGAATTGACATTCAAAATGTTCTATCAATTGCCCATATGTTTCAAGATGATTACAAAATTGTCGTAAAAATAACAAATAGTGTCCATTTACTTGATGATGATGACGTGTGTGTGTGCTTTATTTATTATATGGCGCTACAATTGAAAATAAAACGATTCAATAGCTGATCCAAATTATGGTATAGCATAAATGTCTGTTTCGAATTTGATTTGCACAAGTCAATTAACCCAAATGCCACAAATTGACTGAAATATGAACTGTTTTTTTTTCTCTCGTTAAAATATGTTTCATTCTCTTCTGTCCAAATCGGTTGAGTCTTGTTCGATTGTGCTTTTTTCATGCTTCTCGGTTGTAGTGCTCATGTATGTGTCAGTATTTTTAACACCATCAATTGCTAATAAACCGGTATTCGATTGCGCATTGGCCTAGAATCAGTTGCATAAAGTGCACAGAAATCGAGTCAATCTTGTGTGCACACACAAGATGCAACAGCAAAGGTGCCAACAGAAAAAGGCTACACATATTTATACAGAGAGATGAAGAGAGTCAGAGACAGAGAAGGACAACAAATAGACGAATTAAGCCAATCAAAATATAAATGCATTCTCGGTGCACACACTAGAAGAATATTTTAACGATTGGGTTTTTTTTTCTCTTGTGTGTTTGGTTGCATCAATGTATGATGAGGCGAGCCAACAAATCGACCAAAGAGCCAGACGGGAAAAAAACACCAAATTCACAACTGAAATGTCGTTATTCGTTTGCTATGTGCCAACCGTGAGTATATGCTGTGCCAATCG